ACAAAACTTAAAAGCGATCTCTTTGTCATTGTAATTAAAAATTGAGACGCCTACAGACAAAAGTAACCTAACTGTACAAAATTCGTATTTTTAAACTTAAAGCGTTATTAACTTATAAAATCATTAATGTTTTCAAATAAGAAACTCAATTTCGATAATTAGATATTTTTGCGATAAGCGCATCAATTATGTCAATATTTAAATGTGAGTCAATGGACAAGGGCACCCCGCAATCGCGCGCGCAATGTACCATGCCTGAGCGCGCGAATTTCAGACGCCGTAATAGAATAACTTTAATCGGTTATAATTTAAAAAGTATTATAGCCTCGACATTTTCGTATAAGAGTTTTCGTCTTAGAATGCTCTCTAGAATCTGCCAGTGAAAGGACATACGACCTTTCTGGGACACCCTGTATATTAAAAATTTTGATATTATAGTATTTAAAATGTATGTGTGCGTTGTATATTTACCTCGCTTTCATGTTTCCCATCAGTCATTATGTGTTACAAGAATTAAAGGATCAATTTTCTCAACCACGCGCTATATTTCCGATCATTGTCATTTTTGTTTCGTTTATTAATGATCGCTTGCAACATTTCAAAAATCTACGGATACGAATAAGACAAAATATTATATAAACATAAAGTATGCGAGAATTAACACATGTATTATCTAATAAGTAATTATTATTACCTGATTTTCAATAAAAACAAACTTGAGCAACAGAGAGCATGAAAGGTTTTAATATAATATCTAACATCTTTACCAATTTCTTAAATTTCTATTTTAAATTCTGTTTTCAATTGCAATTGTTTTTTTTTTTTTTTAAATATTTCATACTCATGTTCATAGCCTGGTCATAAATAAAATTAGAATATTCTCCTTGTATTGTTCCATTTAATATCTTATTCACAAATATGCACCAGTCTATAATAAACTGTTGTGCTATCTCATTTATTAAAATGTCTCGTAACGTAAAACAATGGACTACAAATACAGAATATGTTTCTATACTTAAAACATTTTTCAATTTCTCTTTAATTTTAATTTCATGACAAAAATTAGGAAATTTTAATTCCGCAATTTTTAATGCGTGCTTGATACTTTCGACAATGGAATCATTTTGTATTATTTCCATACATTCTGCACAGTCAATCATTTTTTAAAAATAATATTTGTTAATATTTTTTTTGAATCAATAAACATATTTTTAGTTGTTACAATCGGTATAGCAGCTTCAACACACTCAACAATTAAATCTTCTTTTTCTTTTTCTTTTTCTTCTTCTTTCTGAGATGCGGCAGCGCGAAACATTTTTGATAATGGTAATTGTATATCTAATTCATTTTCTTTACAATTTGCAGAATCAGAATGCCTTGATGTCAAATTTGATGCAATAAGAGTTGTAAAACAGGCATAAAATTAATATGGTGATGGATTATTATTTCTATGTCCAAAGTCTCTTACTTGACTAAAATAATTTTCAATAGGATCCTGATTGATATTTTTTAAATTAAATGGTTCAAAGCCACTTTTTTGAAGTACATCCCACAAATATTTGCTGCCTTGTATAGTCCAAATCCAATTAGTGAGACATTTTGGATTATTACGTCGTAAAGGTTTATGAGTAATTTTGTCCACGTATTTCATTCGGCGAAGTTTGTCCTGTGCCTTTTTCCAAAACACTATATGATTGCTCGTTGCACTTATAATACTTGTTAGTCCTTATTCCTTTTGTCCGTTGAAAGAATCAAAGAGTTCATCGAAAAATAAAATTATTTTTCCAGTTGCACTTTGCGGTAATTGCATTTGGCATTTTGTTGTGTTCATAATACCTATAATCAAATATGATAAATGAATATTATAAAATGCATGTGCATTGTAACATGTTAAATATAGTTCACAACATTTGCCATTTTCTCTAATAAATAATGTTATATAATTATAATATATTTATTAGTAATTAAAATATAATAAATTTGAAAGAAACCAGGCTCCAAAAAATAAATCTAAAATATCAAAGTAATATCCAAATGTGAGTCGTCGCAGATGTTGGCGTGTAATAATTTTTTTATTGTTACAATATCCTGCAGCCATATACAAACAGATCTTTGGCTATTACTTTGATATCTCAGATTTATTCTTAGGAGCCTGATTTCTTTCAAATTTATTCAATTTTAATTAATAATAAATATTCCAGCAAACACCAAATTAAATGTGACGTACTTGTTGTAATTTTCCAACTAACAAGTACGTTACATGTTTATACGTTACAAGTTATACGTTACAAGTATGTTACTTGTTATTTGCTGGGATAATATACCTTGATTTAAAGTCATTACAACATCTATAAAATTTGCTAATGTATGACTAAGCACTTGAGTAGCATATTTAACCTTCATTTTTGGAATTAATTCTGGAAATACATGTTTATCAGTTAATTTTGGCAACTGTCGTTGTTTAAAAAATGAATATTTATCCATTTCGTATGCTATAATAATGTCATTCCAAGATGCAAACTCTTCACAGTCTTTATTTTTTATAAGTAAATCTTTTGTTAGTAAATTATTGCGCACTCCTTTTTGTAAATGTACATAATCATGTAGTGGAATAATTTCTTGGTTTTGTATTATAAATGTATTTTCTGTTAAAAGATAATTATATGCATGCATAATTTATAAAACAAATACTATTATAATTTGGAAAAGAGGAAGAATGTTGGATCGATTGTAGGGAATGACTAATAATCTTCAATCAGTTTAGAGATAAAATATATGAGTATATTGCATTGAATTCGTGAGCCGTGTGTACTGTTACAAGTATCATGGAAGACTGTCTTCCGTTACAAAAAAAAACTCCAATAGATTCGGAACCTCTGCAGCTCTACCGCCATCTCTAGGGTACATGGTACTAACAGTTAGACAACCTATATGAACAGACTCAAATACAAGGAATAATAGTTAAATGAATATAGAATTGTAATGATAAAAACAACTCCCACAATCTGCTCCCTTGGCTTTATCATTTGGGCACGCTCATGAACTTCT